ATTACATACGCCATATTATATACATAATTACAGCCACTCATCGCCGCCGAGCGCCACACGTACACGGTTCTTTCTTTGTGTGCGTAGCGTGCAGCGGGCCGAAACTGGAATCTATGTTGCTGGTGTCTCTCTTACTCTTACGGCGTCTTTCAACTCTTCTCATGCTCCTTGCATATTCTTTGTGCCATGTGTCGCAAATGTGATTTTAATCCGAGGTAATTATTTATTTTTCTATAATAATCTTATAAACATATAAAATATAATTTCTAAAGATACCTTATTTGGATATATTTTTACAATATTTTTTATAAATATTCTCTATTTAACGAAAAAATTGTGTTATTAACAAATTTAAGGTTATCTTTTGCCAATAGACGATTGCATATTCTTATGTCCTACTCATTAGATTAATCCAAAGTAATTCTTTTAAAATTATATAGTAAAAAGACATAATATAATAATTATTTCTATAATTATAATTTCTAAAACAATTTCTAAAAATATATTCAGATATATCTTTTTATTTCTTTTTGCATATTGAATAATTTATGAGAAAAGTATTTATGATTGGTGTATTGTTTTTTTTACAGGCTAATAGATTATAAGAGTAGCGTATTGATCGCATTACTGACACAGCAGACCTGCTGTAATAAAGTCACAGACGTGTTATATGTCTTAATATATTGGAAAGGAACTCTCCGATTCCATCGATTCAGGTAATTATTTTTTTAAGAGGTTATTTATTTAACTTTCTAACAAATAATAATAACAATAAAACAATTTTTGAAAATATGTTTAGACGTATTTTTTATTTCTGTTTGCACATTAAATAATTTATGAGAAAAGTATTTATGATTGGTATATTCTTTTTTTTACAGACTTATAGATTATAAGAGCAGCTTATCATTCGCATTACTGACACAGCAGCCCTGCTGTAATAAATTTACAGACGTGTTATACGTCTTAACATATTGAAAAGGAATTCTCCGATTCCACCGATTCAGGTAATTACTTTCTTAATGTTATTTATTTAATTTTTTCATAAAATGACATTTTATCTGTATTTTATCTGATATTATCTATTTTATCTTATATTTATTATATATACAATTTTTACTTTAATATGTTTTATAATATCAAAACATAATTCTAATTTGCTGATATTTTATATTATAATTTAAAATAAAAGTTATTACTTGATAAACATTGTAACTATAAAAAAGAATTTTATTTCAAAGAAATTATTAAACTATGAAAAGATATTAATTGAAGTTAGTTCCTTCAATAATTAGTACATTTTTCATTATATTTTGTTACTTGCACTTGCTTATCTCGCACATCGGATACTTTATAACCGATCCGGAACACGAACAATCTTATCTTATTTAAAATATTATTTAAAATTTGTGTCCATATTATCATGATTCTGTTTTTATGTAATATTTTCGATTGATAATTTTTCTTTATTACAAACTTTTTATATTAGACAACTTTTTGCAAGTTTTAAGAATCAAATCATTTTGAGTTAAATTTAAAACTCTTTGGTCTGTTTATAATTATAACTATATTGTAATCATAACTATATACAGATAAAACATTTATAGTACAGATAAAACATTTATTAAAATGGAAACATATGGAAAACGTAAAAAAAAAGATACATCGTGTGTATCAAATCGGCACTTAAAAAGATTAGCTGCACAAGAATCCGAAATTATTTCTGATATTTTGTTATGTTTCGACGAAAGCTCGTCATCATGTGTTAATATGAATAATGAGTGTACAACAGATTTGAACAACGATTGTACAACAAAATTTAAAATTAATATCGAACAAAATACGGAATCGAATGAAAATAATGAAATACTTGTACATTGTGAAAATGATAACACGCTCAGACAATCGGATGAATACGATATATCAGATTCAGAAGAATCTCCTGTTAATTTTTCTTATAATGAACCAAATGATATAAGATTTGAAATTACAAGTAGCAATTTGCAACATAATCTTGCTATCTGGGCTGTTGAACATCAAATTACACATACTGCTTTAAAAGCATTGCTGCAGAAATTAAAGAAACACTCTTGTTTTTCAAGATTATCATTAGATGCACGATCGCTTTTAAAAACACCAAGACAACAAGAAATACGTACAGTTGTACCAGGATCATATTATCATTTTGGACTATCAAATTCTATAAAAGAAATATTAACATTTGTAAAGGATAATATTAGTTGCGTTAAAATAGCTGTGAACATTGATGGGCTGCCATTATCAAAATCGTCCCAACAACAATTTTGGCCTATATTAGGTTCAGTTTTTTCATATGATAACGTATTTATAATTGGAATTTATCATGGCAATGAAAAACCGATGGATGCCAATGAATTTTTACAAGATTTTGTTAACGAAGCTACAGAAATATGTAGAAATGGAATTTTCGTCAACGGTCGAAACATACAGTGTAGAATTGCAGCTTTGATTTGTGATACACCAGCGAAAGCATTTGTTTTGGATGTAAAAGGGCATTCTGGGTATTCAAGTTGTACGAAGTGTACAACGGAAGGAGAATATATAGGAACCCGACTGTGTTTTCCACAAATTGATGCACCACTTAGATCAGATGATAACTTCATACAAAAAATAGATGATAATTATCACAAGCCAAATATAACGTGCAGCCTCTTAAATATACCTCACTTCAAACCTGTTACACATGTTCCATTGGATTATGTGCACTTAATATGTTTGGGAATCATGCATAAATTATTATATTTATGGCTTGATGGAGAATTACATTTTCGATTACAACATAGAATCGTTGACAACATTTCTACACATTTAATAACTCAATTAAAACCATCAATATCTATGGAATTTGCACGAAAACCACGAAAATTGGATTGTCTAAAATTATGGAAAGCAACGGAATATAGATTAATATTATTATATACAGGTCCATTGGCATTTAAATCAGCATTAAAAAAAAATGTGTATATACATTTTATTACATTACACGTGATTATGAGAATCTTATCTTCAGAAGATTTACATGAATATCTAACATATGCACAAGATCTTATTCATTTTTTTATCAAAACATTTATAAAACTGTACGGAATTCAAAACATATCACATAATGTTCACAGCCTTATTCATCTTGTGGATGATGTCAAGAGATTTGGACCTGTTGATAACTTTAGTGCCTTTAAATTTGAAAATTACATGCAGATATTAAAAAAATATTTGAGAAAAGCAGAGAAACCTTTGCAACAAGTTGTGCGAAGATACGTTGAGAAAAAAGTGAATTTATGCACATCATCTACTTTATCAGATTCTGTTCGAATATATCCATTTTTGACATCGTTGCATTATGATGGTCCTCTTATATTGAATTGCCGCAATCCACAATATAAAATTGTGAAATATAATGGATTTACATTTAAAGTTGGAACACTTGCAGATAGTTGTTGCGGTTTAAATTGTGGTGCAATTGTTTGTATTAAAAATGTGACATACTGCACACGGCGAAATATTCCTATAATTATTGGCTACAAATTTTTGGAAAAAGAAGACTTATTTACTGTTCCTTGTGCATCTTCTATGCTTGACATTTATTCTGTACATTTACGCTCTGATTTAAGATCATGGCCATTAAAAAATATAGTTAAAAAATATGTACAGTTGCCTTGCGGAGATGATAAATATGCAGTTTTTCCACTCATACATTGCAAAATGTAAATGACTTTTCTAATTATGCAGAATGACAGAAAGAAAGTATTACGCAGTTGTTGAGTTTGAAGATGGTTTGCAAGTGATACCTGATAATTGGTTGAATGAAGATTTAACAAAGGCTGTTTGGCCAACCTTCACAAATAATAAACGATATTACAAGGCTGTAAAATTTATGGAAGAACCATTATCTACTTGGTTAGAGCATCCAATCTGTAAAATATATGGAAAGTTTTGTAAGTGTCTTGTCAAATATTTAATTTATCATTATATATATATGTATGTATAGATATTTTTGAATTATACAGTAAAATAACATTTCTATTAAAATATATATTATTTCTTTTTCAGTAAATTATGCAGTAGCAAGGAAAAAATTAAAAGAAGCTGAAGCGTTATCTGATATAAATTCTGATACTGATAGAAATGAATCTTTAAAAAAATCTAGAAAAGTCAGAGCTGCTAAAATTTTTGATAAAGATACGAGTAGCGATGAACAATCGGATTCTTCACTTATTTCGGAACTCCCAAAAGTCCCTGAAAAACGTGCAATAACTGCATTGAAAAATAACTGTATTGAAAAACAAACATGTACTACTAAAACAAAAAATGCAACATTTTCACAAACAGGTAAAAATATAATAAAGTAATATTAATGGAGTAAATAGTAATAAATTATGAAAAAAAAAAAGGTTAATAATAAAACACTGTGGTTTCTAAATTATGGATGTAATTATATAAACAACTCCACAAAAGAATACATAGAACGAGATAAATTAAATATAAAATCATAGGAAAATTTTTCTAAGTATATGTTTTTATCTAAAAATATAAAATAAAACGTATCTCGTTTGAATTACAATATAAAAACAAAAAAAATTAACATTAGCTTACGTATTGCACTAACTCAAAAGATATGTATATGTATGTATATGTACATCTAATTAAAAATATTTTTTATACCTTTATATAAAATAACTATAACTTAATATAATTTGGAATATTAATAAAGTGGAATATTAATAAAACAGATTAATATAATGTATCTAATATAAATATTTGGTTTATATTAATTGAGTCTGTTTTGTGATATTATTGCATATTATGTTTGATTATAAATAATAATACAAAACTTAAAAGTGCCTATATATTGATGCTAATTAATATTAAAAGTGTATTAAAATGTTATAATAAAAAAAATTATTTTGTTCTAGATGTACAAAATGACACTGAAGATTTACTTTATGCATCAGACACAAAACAATCATTTACAAAGGATTTTGAATCCGCTAACTTTACTGAAACAGCAAGTATGCCAATCCAACAAGCAAAGCTTGATTCGAGTTTCAATTGTAATCAAGGTAATATATTAATTGTATTTAATGTTTAATTTTACAATTTACTTTATAGAATATAATCCATTACAGAAGACTTCATATTGTATCCAATGTACATTTGATTGCATATATTGAACATTAAACAGTGAATTCTGTAATGAATTAAATTTCTTTAATTTTCATTAAAGAGCTTCTGCACACAGGACGCGTCAACGCGTTACAAGTCGAGATACAAAATTATATACAAATATAGTATATGAATACAACAAATTTTTAATATTTTACAGAAACTAAAAATTTTCGACGTTTTGTTGTTGGAAAGTTGATAAGTTTGGAATTAAAAAATAATTCTATTGAAAGACATCTAAAGCTTATTATAGAAAAACTTCCAATTACTAATTTTGAAGAAAAAGAAAATGTTGTAGACATTTTTCAAGACTTGCCATTGCAAAATAAAAATGATCTTGACGTAATCGAAGCAAAACTAATTAATGATAAAAGTTATCGAAGTCAAATGGTAAGCCCATATTATTATTTTGATCTTTTTCTGAACAAAAAAAATATTTTTGAAAAAAGTAACAATCTGATGGAAAATACAATTTTTAGTAAAAATATTAGTTTAAATTGTCGTTAGAAAATTTTATGTATTATATTTTTTGAATGTTACATAAATTCTCGTTATAATAAAATTACTAAATTTATTATCTGCTACATTATTTAACATAAACTAATCTATTTAATGTACATAATTTTTTGAGAACAGTAAATATATATTCAACAAGCTTTTTTAATGATTTTATAAAGAAGTTTTTACATTAATTTATTATTGAATGTTGATCGAATATTTTCATACAATTTATTAAACGTTTATATTTATTAAAAATTTTACAATTGCTTTTCAAATTTTAAATTGACATCTTTGTTGAGGATTACTTTATATAAAGAATTTTAAAAAATAATTATATAAAAATATTAAATTATATAGTTGTAGCTAATATGTTTCAAAAATAATTATTGATAGATAAGTTTTATACCAATATGTACAGTAATTTTATGTAGAATAGTACTTGAGAGCATATTATTTTTGTACATATTATCAAACAAATATGATAGTTTAATAAAATTTTTATAATGCCTTTTTATAACAATATAATAACTTTTTATAACAATTTCAGATTAAACAATTGACTCGTGTTACATGTAAAGATATAAAGACTTCGTGTACACATTTGATGAGAAAAATTTTTTCCAACGATTTGGCAGTACATTACAGCTGGTATGGGGCAAAAAAAAAAGAAAAATTTTCGCAGCTACACATCTGCATAGTGATCATGTGTAAGTAAAGTAAATTCAAAAACAATCTATTTTATTATTATTCTATTAATAAAATAATGATTTCTTAAAAATTAAAAATTATTTCACAAGTATCCAGTAATTTTATCAAATAACAAGAAAGTAGTTATACAAATGTTGATGTTTTAAACATTCTCTTTTCATATAGTACAAAGAAAGTGTACAAGCATTTCTTAATTATTTTAACTTATATATTCTAAATTAGAGTTATTAAATGAAATTTGTTTTAAAATTTATTAATAAACAGATAATTTTTAAAAATATATTTTTTTAGGTGTAATAAGAAAAATATATGAAAATGCAACAGATGAACAAATTTCCTCTCCAATAAAAATATGGCTGGCCCACGCAAAAGAACGTATGGAAAGAGAGAAAGAACATCAAAATACAATAGATTAAGAAGCTGGAATTGTTTCTTCTTGAAGATTGTTTTTTAATATATTTTTAGTTTTATAAACCAAATTAATATTTTGTGCAATACTTTCTTTTGATTTGCAATACTTTCTTTCTTTGGATTAAATAATAATTTTTTTAAATGTATTTTTAGTTCTAAATATGATAAATAATTAATAATAATTAATAATAATAAATATGCAAAATGTAAATGCATTGTTATACACATACTCTGCGACAAATATGGATCGTTTGTAATAAGTGTGTTGTGATTTTTCATTGCTGACAAAACGTCTATCATAAATTATGTTGACACATTTGTTACTTAGATTAACAAATATATAACATATATTTGTTCTTGTTGTTACATATGTAATGAATATTAATTTGAGTTATCTTAATATAAATATTTATATTAATTTTTAAATTCCTTTACATATATATATATATATATACAGGGTGAGTCATTTTAATCAATACACTCGAATATCTCGAAAACAGCACTCTTCAGAAAGAAATGTTTCAAACAAAAATTGTAGGGTGTGAAGGGGGACATAAGATGGTAGCATTGGTTTGACCTTGGAAAGTCATTTGAAGGTCACATAAAAGTCACCTTCGATTTCTTAAATTGAACCCACTATTTTTCATTACATATTCTTGTAGTTTATCTCGAGAGCTTTCCAAAATGCTGCAGACAAATGTTTTTTCATTAAGTACTTTTTGAGTTATAAGGCTTCAAAGTTTGCAGTACTTCGATATAAAATGCAAAATATCTCGTAAAATATTTAGTTTTCGGTAGTCTTACCCTAATACTTTTATGCACAGGATAATGAGACAAAACTATTGGTGCAAAGAAAACGTATGATTGTTTATAATAAAAAATGTGTAATTTGCAATGCACTTTTTGTTATAAACAATCATACGTTTTCTTTGCACCAATAGTTTTGTCTCATTATCCTGTACATAAAAGTATTAGGGTAAGACTACCGAAAACTAAATATTTCACGAGGTATTTTGCATTTTATATCGAAGTACTGCAAACTTTGAAGCCTTATAACTCAAAATGTATTTAATGAAAAAACATTTGTCTGTAGTGGTTTGGAAAGCTCTCGAGATAAGTTACAAGAATATGTAATGAAAAATAGTGGGTTCAATTTAAGAAATTGAAGGTGACTTTTATGTGACCTTCAAATGACTTTCCAAGGTCAAACCAATGCTACCATCTTATGTCCCCCTTCACACCCTACAATTTTTGTTTGAAACATTTCTTTCTGAAGAGTGCTGTTTTCGAGATATTCGAGTGTATTGATTAAAATGACTCACCCTGTATATATATATATATATATGTAAAGGAATTTAAAAATTAATATAAATATTTATATTAAGATAACTCAAATTAATATTCATTACATATGTAACAACAAGAACAAATATATGTTATATATTTGTTAATCTAAGTAACAAATGTGTCAACATAATTTATGATAGACGTTTTGTCAGCAATGAAAAATCACAACACACTTATTACAAACGATCCATATTTGTCGCAGAGTATGTGTATAACAATGCATTTACATTTTGCATATTTATTATTATTAATTATTATTAATTATTTATCATATTTAGAACTAAAAATACATTTAAAAAAATTATTATTTAATCCAAAGAAAGAAAGTATTGCAAATCAAAAGAAAGTATTGCACAAAATATTAATTTGGTTTATAAAACTAAAAATATATTAAAAAACAATCTTCAAGAAGAAACAATTCCAGCTTCTTAATCTATTGTATTTTGATGTTCTTTCTCTCTTTCCATACGTTCTTTTGCGTGGGCCAGCCATATTTTTATTGGAGAGGAAATTTGTTCATCTGTTGCATTTTCATATATTTTTCTTATTACACCTAAAAAAATATATTTTTAAAAATTATCTGTTTATTAATAAATTTTAAAACAAATTTCATTTAATAACTCTAATTTAGAATATATAAGTTAAAATAATTAAGAAATGCTTGTACACTTTCTTTGTACTATATGAAAAGAGAATGTTTAAAACATCAACATTTGTATAACTACTTTCTTGTTATTTGATAAAATTACTGGATACTTGTGAAATAATTTTTAATTTTTAAGAAATCATTATTTTATTAATAGAATAATAATAAAATAGATTGTTTTTGAATTTACTTTACTTACACATGATCACTATGCAGATGTGTAGCTGCGAAAATTTTTCTTTTTTTTTTGCCCCATACCAGCTGTAATGTACTGCCAAATCGTTGGAAAAAATTTTTCTCATCAAATGTGTACACGAAGTCTTTATATCTTTACATGTAACACGAGTCAATTGTTTAATCTGAAATTGTTATAAAAAGTTATTATATTGTTATAAAAAGGCATTATAAAAATTTTATTAAACTATCATATTTGTTTGATAATATGTACAAAAATAATATGCTCTCAAGTACTATTCTACATAAAATTACTGTACATATTGGTATAAAACTTATCTATCAATAATTATTTTTGAAACATATTAGCTACAACTATATAATTTAATATTTTTATATAATTATTTTTTAAAATTCTTTATATAAAGTAATCCTCAACAAAGATGTCAATTTAAAATTTGAAAAGCAATTGTAAAATTTTTAATAAATATAAACGTTTAATAAATTGTATGAAAATATTCGATCAACATTCAATAATAAATTAATGTAAAAACTTCTTTATAAAATCATTAAAAAAGCTTGTTGAATATATATTTACTGTTCTCAAAAAATTATGTACATTAAATAGATTAGTTTATGTTAAATAATGTAGCAGATAATAAATTTAGTAATTTTATTATAACGAGAATTTATGTAACATTCAAAAAATATAATACATAAAATTTTCTAACGACAATTTAAACTAATATTTTTACTAAAAATTGTATTTTCCATCAGATTGTTACTTTTTTCAAAAATATTTTTTTTGTTCAGAAAAAGATCAAAATAATAATATGGGCTTACCATTTGACTTCGATAACTTTTATCATTAATTAGTTTTGCTTCGATTACGTCAAGATCATTTTTATTTTGCAATGGCAAGTCTTGAAAAATGTCTACAACATTTTCTTTTTCTTCAAAATTAGTAATTGGAAGTTTTTCTATAATAAGCTTTAGATGTCTTTCAATAGAATTATTTTTTAATTCCAAACTTATCAACTTTCCAACAACAAAACGTCGAAAATTTTTAGTTTCTGTAAAATATTAAAAATTTGTTGTATTCATATACTATATTTGTATATAATTTTGTATCTCGACTTGTAACGCGTTGACGCGTCCTGTGTGCAGAAGCTCTTTAATGAAAATTAAAGAAATTTAATTCATTACAGAATTCACTGTTTAATGTTCAATATATGCAATCAAATGTACATTGGATACAATATGAAGTCTTCTGTAATGGATTATATTCTATAAAGTAAATTGTAAAATTAAACATTAAATACAATTAATATATTACCTTGATTACAATTGAAACTCGAATCAAGCTTTGCTTGTTGGATTGGCATACTTGCTGTTTCAGTAAAGTTAGCGGATTCAAAATCCTTTGTAAATGATTGTTTTGTGTCTGATGCATAAAGTAAATCTTCAGTGTCATTTTGTACATCTAGAACAAAATAATTTTTTTATTATAACATTTTAATACACTTTTAATATTAATTAGCATCAATATATAGGCACTTTTAAGTTTTGTATTATTATTTATAATCAAACATAATATGCAATAATATCACAAAACAGACTCAATTAATATAAACCAAATATTTATATTAGATACATTATATTAATCTGTTTTATTAATATTCCACTTTATTAATATTCCAAATTATATTAAGTTATAGTTATTTTATATAAAGGTATAAAAAATATTTTTAATTAGATGTACATATACATACATATACATATCTTTTGAGTTAGTGCAATACGTAAGCTAATGTTAATTTTTTTTGTTTTTATATTGTAATTCAAACGAGATACGTTTTATTTTATATTTTTAGATAAAAACATATACTTAGAAAAATTTTCCTATGATTTTATATTTAATTTATCTCGTTCTATGTATTCTTTTGTGGAGTTGTTTATATAATTACATCCATAATTTAGAAACCACAGTGTTTTATTATTAACCTTTTTTTTTTTCATAATTTATTACTATTTACTCCATTAATATTACTTTATTATATTTTTACCTGTTTGTGAAAATGTTGCATTTTTTGTTTTAGTAGTACATGTTTGTTTTTCAATACAGTTATTTTTCAATGCAGTTATTGCACGTTTTTCAGGGACTTTTGGGAGTTCCGAAATAAGTGAAGAATCCGATTGTTCATCGCTACTCGTATCTTTATCAAAAATTTTAGCAGCTCTGACTTTTCTAGATTTTTTTAAAGATTCATTTCTATCAGTATCAGAATTTATATCAGATAACGCTTCAGCTTCTTTTAATTTTTTCCTTGCTACTGCATAATTTACTGAAAAAGAAATAATATATATTTTAATAGAAATGTTATTTTACTGTATAATTCAAAAATATCTATACATACATATATATATAA